TAGATAAATTGAGATGTGACAAACAAAGCATTGCTGACATATTATCATACTTGTGACTAAGAATATAAAAATTGCATGAATATTGTACAGAAGTAAATGGTAAGAATACAAAGTTTAATTTTAAATATGATACAACTGTAAACTATGGTATGAAACTGAAGTCAAGTGGTGTGTCACTCTGAGTACCACACTGGAATACCAACCCTTGAACTTAAGTTCAAACTTCAGCTGCAGTGCAATTTATTTTTTCTGCTTTATCAGCCATGGATTGATGGTCCAATAACAGAACTTTCATTACTATTACTGAACCCAAGACAATACAAAGGCTTTAGAAGGACAATATTAAATTTTAAAATAGTTATTTATGTAAATCTTCTTCTTTCACTATGTAATATATAGTAAGGGTAAGTATTGCGATTGTGAAAATTTTTGAATCTGAGTTTTGAATGGAAATACATGTTTTGATGTCCCCTGAGTCCAAATAACCAAGTGCCGCAAAATGGTGAGTGTGTATATGTCTCTGTGTGTTAACAGTCTTAGCTCAAAAACGAAAAGTCGTGAAATTGCATATTTAAGGTTGTTATATGCTAGGGATGTAACAGCAACTTTTTCATCAAAATCGGCTAACCGGAAGTGTCACTTTATATAATGGACTAAACACATTTTACGATTATCTCGAAAACCGCTCTAAAGATTTTGATTAAATTCATCATATCTGTTATTAAGTAAAATTAAGCAGTTTTAAATAAAATATGTTTATTATTCTGATTGATGTTCTCTAACAGGGCTTAAATGGTTAATTTTCAGTATTAGCTTCCTCTAAAATACCTTTAATTTTTTTTAATTGAAACAATTGACAATTCCACATTAATTTCTAATATCTAAAATGGTTAAATATAAAATATGAATCAATTTGATAAATAACTAAAGGAGAAATAATAGATCGTTACAGAGTTGTAATTGAGTAACTAAAGGAGTGTACCCAAGCTCGCCTGAAAGATTAGAACATGCTTCCATACGTATTAATATAATACGGACTCCGGCAACATTATATAAATATACATGTGTGGTTTTCATAAATGCTATTGTTGGTATTATTTAATATTTAATTGTATAGATTACAGCGATATAATTATTAAAATTTGTATATATGAGGGTACTTATACAAGTAAAAATGCCCAAAATGAAATATAAATAAATATAGAGTCTATAATTTTTACTTTCACTTCGCTTTGTCTGAAAATAATTATTTCTGCTAAGAAGAGAGTGGTAAGTGATAGTTGTGTAATGCACGCACCGCACCAGATTTTTTGGTGTTACAACCCACAAGGGGTCAAGGTCTCCTGTAACATCATTTGCCTGTCATTTTTATTCAGAGCAGCCAATTTCCACTCTCGAATATGAAGGATGAATCTTTCGTTAGCCGCAACTTCATCAGCACAACGCAGTTTGGATCTTCCTATTAGCCTTGTTCCAAATAGCAGTTCAGTGAGGAACTTCTTTGGAATTTAGTTATCAGGCATCCTAGCCACATGGCCTGCCCAGTGGAGTTGACCAATCCTAATAAATCTAATCACATTACTATCTTGGAAAAATTCCTGCAGTTCTGCATTTGTTCCCTGCCTTCACTCTTGTCTCACACAGCTGGACCAAATATTCTGCAAACGATTCGGTGTTCATATCGTAGTAAGATCTGCTCGATGGTTTTCGATATAATTCAACATTCTGAACCATAGGTTAGGACTGGTTTTATTAGTGACTTGTACAAACACAATTTTGTTGTTCGGGAAAGGGATTTGATTTTCATGTCATACTGGACCAATTGGATGCCATTATTCTTTGTTTTGTCTCAGGTCGCATGTCATTGTTAGGGTTTTCCAAAGTACTCAGGTAAACAAATTCTTCCCTTGTTTGTATCTGTCCTTGTTTCACATTGTACATCCACCTTTATATAATGATCTACCTATGATATCTAGGTCATCAGCAAAATCCAGTATATGCGTTGATCTATTTAAAATAGTTCCTCCCACTTGTACATGAGATTTTCTTATTGCGATCTTTAAGGCGGGACCATATCTGGAGATATCGAGCCCCCAGACTTTGAGGAAGTAATGGATGCAATCCTTCCCATAAAAAATAAGGCGCCGGGACCGGATGAATTGCCATCTGAGCTCTTCAAGTATGAGGGAGATGAATTGCATAGAGCACTGTTTGATATAGTCCTGACAATTTGGGATCAGGAAAGAGTGCTACAGCAGTGGACTAATGCTATATTATGTCCTCTCCATAAGAAAGGAGACCAACTTGATTGTAGGAACTACTATGGCATAGCCCTGTTATCTTATGCCTACAAAATCCTCTCGACTATCCTTTTCAAAATTACCCCATTTGCGGAATGGGAAATAGGGAAATATCAAGCTGGCTTCCGGAAAGGTGGATCTACTGTTGATCAAGTGTTCACCTTTAGGACAATTTTGGAACGGGGTCATGAATATAAAATCCCTACATACCACCTGTTTGTCGACTTTAAGAGTGCATATGATTGCATCAAATGACCTAAGCTGTGTGAGACGTTGGGAGAAATGGGTACCCCATGCAAACTGATACGTCTCGTGAAGTTGACAATGAAAGATGCTAGATGTCAGGTACGGATCCAGTCTGACTGCTCTGAAGTATTTCCCTCCAACAAAAGATTAAGGCAGGAGGATGGATTGGCCTGTCTCCTCTTTAATCTTGCACTGCAGAAAGCTGTACAGGATTCAGGAACCCAGACAGACCAAACGATATTCACCCGTACTGTACAGATATTGGGATGATCTGGATATCATGGCCAGGACCCGATCGGCATTGGTAAAGGCCTTTAGGAAACTCATGGATGCTGCTTCAGTCATGGGATTGGCCATAAACGAGAATAAAACGAAATATATGCACACAGGGACTGGTGGCGATGAGGCACTGAGTGTTGGCCCATTACACATTCCAAAGGTTGAACAAGTTTACGTATTTGGGATATCTAGTAACTCCAATTAACGATGTCTCTGCTGAGAAAAGGAAAGGCTGTTGGCAGCAAATATTTTGCCTTAATGAAAACTCTCCACAGCAGATCCATTACCAGGGGCACTAAACTGGTCATATACAAGACTCTTATGGGCCCAGTTCTTACCTATGCTTCCCAATCTTGGACCATCTCAAGAACTGATGAAAATAATCTTTTGATTTTCTAAAGAAAAATCTTATGGCGAATAGTTGGCCCAGTGAGAGATGTGGATGGATGGAGGATTAGGAGGAACAGGGAGCTTTATGACCTTTACGAAGATATGGACGTTGTGAAGTTTATAAAACTGGGGAGGCTCAGTTGGGCTGGTCATGTTGCAAGGATGAAAGTGGAAGAAATTCCTAGAATAGTAGTGGACACCACCCTTCACGGTACACAATGGCCTGGTAGGTCAAAGCTTCGATGGGTTGATGGAGTGGGAGCGGACGGAGCCTGCTACGGATCAGAAGCTGGAAAGCGGCAGCACAAAATTGGGCCGAATGGCGGTGGCTCCTTGAGGCCAAGACCCACCCAGGATTGTAGCACCACGTAGATAGATAGATAGATCTTCAGGGCAAGGTTAAACAGGAGGCAAGCTAGGCAGTTACCTTGTCTGAAATCTTTGTGTGTCATGAAGCACTCAGACATTTCTCCTTGTAACTTTACCATACATTCCACCTTTTTCATAGTCATTCTCACTAGGAGAACTATCTTCCTTGGAATATCAAGCTCTACCATGCCCACATACAGTTTCTCTTGTATCACACTGTTATAGCTCCTCGATAGTCTATGAAAAGGTGATGGGTCAGTATAGCATATTCCCTGGTCTTTTTCAGCACTGTCCTTAAAGAAAAGATCTGATCAGTGGTTGCTTTCCCTTTCATAAAACCAGCCTAGTATGGTCCAATTACATGCTGTGCCAAAGGAAGAAGTCTTTGGAACAGAATACTATACAGGATCTTATATTCAGAGGCTACATATGAGATACCACAAAAGTTATTGCACTCCAGGATGTCTCCCTTTTTATGGAAAGGACAAATGATTATTCTGCAGTCCTATTCCTCTGGTAGCTCTTTCTGCTCCCATATATCCGATATGAGATTGTGGATACATTTCATTAATTCAGTCTTACCATACTTATATAGCTCGGGTGGTAATTTGTCAGGGCCAGTGGCTATCTGCAGTACTACGACTGGGGCCTCTTACTCCACACCACCAATATTTATGTAAATGGTGAAAATAAAAATAATTTATTCTCAGTCTGTTTTATTTTTACCCTATATTTGTGCTTTATTTTTACATTCTTGCCCATTTTATTTTAACCATTTGCATTTTTATTAAATTTTTGTGATTTTAGATGTTCAATTTTTTTTCTTATTTATTCCCTGAATTTGTTATGCATACTTCATCTTTTTCATATTTTTAAAAAGTTTATTCAATTTTTATTCTAATGTTTGGAGTAAGATTCATATAATTTTCCGATTTCTCCCTAGGTTTCCTATTTACTGGTATTTTGCTATCATTTTAGTACTAAAAGTTTTATCTACTGAAGTAATATAAATTTAATTTCACAAAACAATTTTATTTATATTCAGGGTATCAATTTTTGTTTCAAGAAATTTTATTTTTATTTTATTATTATTTTTTTTTTATCATATCTGTAAAGTTCTATAATTCTGGCGAATCATTATAATAAGGCAATATACCAGTTGTAATAATGCTAGGCTGTCAAATATCCTGAGGTGCTTATCAAATGATTTGTTTTAATATAGAAATATGAGCTAACCACCAGTCCACGTTTTATAAAAATAATTTATAGTTTATATTTATTTATGTTTAATCATTTTTATTTACTTGACTATTATTATAAGTTGACCAAAATCTTTAGGCCTAAATTTCATTTAAAACTTTATTTTTTAAGTATAAGATGATTTGGTTACTAATGATTATAAAACTTTTTCTTTAGGTGTTTCTTCTGTAGATTATTCAAATTATCCTTCATCTGACTTTCAACATGCTTGGCTTAAAATTTATCTTAAGGAGTTTAATTCCAATGGAAATTGTACTGCCGAAGTTACAGATGAGGAAATTGAAGAACTATACATACAAGTCAATAAATTTGCTCTTGTTGCTCATTTGATGTGGGCAAGTTGGGCTTTAGTTCAGGCTGAACTCTCATGTATAGATTTTGACTTTATTAGGTAAATGTAGTATTTTATCTAATGTAAATAGTATTTTATCTATTATTATATTTGTTTTCCCAAGAATTTCTTTTTCTTCCTGAAAATTATTTTAACCAAGTCTAAAGGCTATTTTTGTAGTTTCTATTTTCTAAAGTCTTTTATAATGATAAAATTATGTAATTGCATGCTATATTGAACTTTCCATAAATAATTCGTTTAAAACACAGAAAACAATAAAAACTTTAAAATTCTATTTTATAACATTTGAAATTCTATAAATTAAATTTAGTCTTATGTGATTGAATATCTTATCTTGGTGAATATCATTCTAGTCCTATGTTGTTTCTGTTACTTTAGAATTTATCACTTTAGATGTTTGATAGGTTTGAGATCAGGGTTATAGGCTTGCTAATGAAAGGTATAAATATCAACCTCATTAAGGTACTCATTGACCACACTTGTATTGTGTGGTTTCACATTGTTATGCTTACAAATATTTATACAAATTAAACAAAGAATTGGCTATTTATAAATTTGACTATTTTTTGTTCTACAGTTGAAAAATAAGGAACCATATTATATATATTACTTATTAAGCCATGTTTTGGACTATGGGTGGTCTGTTTTAGAAAAAAAAAAATATAAGGTCCTTGTGTACCTGCTGACTCTGAGCATCCATAATCCTTGGATCTAGAACAATTTGTCACCGTCCTCGTGCCCGAGTGAGTCGGTGGGAAGGACACTGCTAGATTGGCTCCAAAGAGATTAGCTATTGGTGGTTCGGTACTGTAATTAACATAAGGTTGAGTGACCCTCTCCTGGCTATCTGTGCTGCTGCATGTAATATACATATGTTAGAAGGCCTCATCATTTGGCTAAAGATCTATATGGTCAATAGTGCCAACCAAAATAAGAAATATATATATATTTCTTTTTATTTTATTTTAAGAAATATATATATATATATATATATATATATATATATATATATATATATATACATATATATACATATATACATACATATGTATTACTGGCCAAATATACAGCCTCAAGGAAAAAGACAAATAAAATAATAAGAACAGCAAAAAGAGAATTCCTCAAAGAAAGATTACAAACTATTGAGGAAAACAGGCAGGCTGTTTCTTCGCAGATATCATGAAAGAAAGGTATGATATAAAGCGAAAAATATGCAAATGCGAGGGAAAGAAGGCAAATTTTTACGGCATCAAAATACAAGATCCTAAGCATCTGGAAGGAACACTTCCGGCAGCTCCTCAATCCAGGGTACCCCTAAAAATGAAGAAGAAATGGACCACACTAAGGACATCGACCCACTTGAGGTTGTAAAACATATTCTGGATGTGGAAATAGTTTTCGGCTGGCATAAAAGAAGAAAGGCTCCAGGGATGGGCAACCTACCATCAGAATTATTCAAGGATGGGGGAGAACACCTTAAAGCCAAGCTGTTGGAACTAATCCAGAATATATGGGAGGAGGAAAGGATACCAGAAGCCTGGAACACAGGGCTGATCTGTCCTATTCATAAGAAGGGCTACATGTACGAATGTGGTAATTACAGAGGCATAGCACTTCTTCCAGTTGGCTAATATTCTGTTAAGTTGGATATATCCGTATTATGAAAACATAATAGGGGACCACCAAGCAGGAATCAGGAGAGGAAAGAGTGCGATAGACCAGATATTCATCCTAAAACAAATACTTGAAAAATGATGGGAAGTATTTCAGGATGTACATGCCTTATTTGTCGACATCAAATCAGCCTATGACTCCATGGACAGAAACTGTCTATGGAAGATTATGACTGAGCTGTGTGTTCCCAGAGAGTTAGTGAGGTTGACGAAGGCATGTACAAATGATCGTAAATAAAAAGTACTAATACAAGGAGAAGTATCTGAAGCCTTTGAAGTTCAAACAGGTTGGAGACAGGAAGATGGACTCTCGCCAATGCTGCTCAACTTAGCCCTTGAGAAAGTAATTAAAATATCACTCGAAGATGGAGGGATGCATGTCGGAATAAAACATAAAGTCCTAGCATATGCAGATGATGTAACTGTCCTCGACTCTCGATAGCTATACGGACTCTGTTAAGAGAAGCAGAGCAAATCGGGCTACAAGTCAATGAAGATAAAACAAAATATATAGTAATGCAGAGAAGAATAGTTGGGGTGATCAGTCAGAAATAAGAAGGCAAAATAAATGATAATATTTATTTTGACATTTACCGACGTTTCGACCTGAAGTTCAGGCCTTCATCAGGGCTAAGAAAAGAACCAGATAACAAGGTATAAGAAACATGAGTAATGTAGGTAAAAAAAAAAAAAGTTAAATGAAGTTAGTAGATTAATTACAATATTAAGAACTAAGAGGTAAATAATAATAACCGTTACAAAGTGTGGAATGATGAAGTAAACATAATCAAAAAAGGTGACATAAATATTAAAATGAGAATCTTAGAATAAAATGTAAAACAGAAAAAAAAAAAGGAATATGAAGTTATATAAGAAATGAAAATAAATAGTAAAATTAAGATATTGCAAATAGAATAGTTAGATAGAAAATTGAGATATTGTAAAGTCTATCAAATTGTACTGACAACATATAATATAATAAAGAGTTAAAACAGAGAAAAGGAATGAAAGGAAGGAGGAAAAGAAACCGAGAAGGCTGAAATAAGAAAGAAAAAACAAACCTGCTCGCAAAAAGTTTGTTGGAGAAGTGAGAATATGGTAGCATGGGAGGGGGGAGAGAGGAAATGTATTGTGGTGACATCTCTAACGGTTGTCTGACGAAGTTTGAACTAAAGTACCGGAAGCGTAAATAAAGGACGAGAGATATATTTCTCATAAATATTATGAATATTTAAACGAAAGTTTAATAGAAAGAGGATGAAAAAATCTGGAGAAAGAATAAAACAGAGATAATAACTGTTAAGTAATAATGGAGAATAATTGAAATTAATACATATCATATATATATATATATATATATATATATATATATATATATATATTATATATATATATATATATATATATATATAAGTAAGTTGTCAGCGAAAAGGAAAAGAATATAGCTATGGATGTTTTAATAAATTCAGAATTTGGAAATAGGCTAAGGATAAGAAGACGTCAATAGTTTCTCCGTTTGCATTTCTAATATCTTCAATTCCACTAAAGCACAGAGGAAACTAATACTAATTTCCAAGTTCCAAAATTTGTACCAAATTACTCTTAAAAATAAAGTTTATCCTGCAGGAAAAGAAGAATGGGTAGACAATATCTATTCCACAGACATCCCCCCCCAGTGATTAATATTTTAAGTTTAGGACCAACTTTTTCCACACCCAACACCTCTGTCAAACTCATTCCACAACTTATCACTGACCAGAAAAAATTAACATTGCTAAAAATGTCATCCACCATACTCCCTCCCTCTCTGATTCCCAATTTCATATTACCAATATCAAACACATAAAACAGATCCTGTCAAACAATAATTTTCCTCTCCATGTCATTAACAAACTTATAACAGACCACAATAATCGCTCTTTCTTAATCTCGAATTCCACTAATTCTTCACAACCCATTCCGGCCTCTATATACAGATCTCTACCTTAATTCCTAACCTTTTTGACAACATAAACAAAGTTTTACGATCTACTTACAAATTGCTTTCAAATCTCACAGCACTCTCTAAATTATACACATCCAAAGATCCTGTTCCTCTTTCACATCGTTCTCATATCGTTTACCGTATTCCGTGTTCTACCCCAATTGTTTTTCATCCTATATTGGTGAAACCAAAAATCTTCTAAAAGACCGCACCACCCAACATAAATATTCTGTATCCTCTTGTAATTTTACCGCCTCCAAATTATCCGAACATTCTCTCTCCCTTAATCATACATTTGATTTCGACAAAACTTCCATCCTTGCCTCAGTTCTCAACCATGACAAACGACTCATTTCTGAAACCTTCCTCATCGAGCTCCAACCAAAAACAGACAAACAAAACTTATCCTTAGCCTATTCCCAAATTCTGAATTTATTAAAACATCCATAGCTATATTCTTTTCCTTTTTGCTGACAACTTCCTTATATATATGTGATATGCATTAATTTCAATTATTCTCCATTATTACTTAACAGTTATTATCTCTGTTTTATTCTTTCTCCAGATTTTTCATCCTCTTTCTATTAAACTTTCGTTTAATTATTCATAATATTTATGAGTAATATATCTCTCGTCCTTTATTTACGCTTCCGGTACTTTAGTTCAAACTTCGTCAGACAACTGTTAGAGATGTCGCCACAATACATTTCTATTTTTTTTTTTTTTAACAATAAATTAGGTCAATTTTCACCAACATTTTATTGATACGCATTAATTTGACGTTTCGACTATACTAAGGGTCATTTTCACATCTTGATGAGTCCTCCGTTATATGTTCATCATTAATGTTGTAATTAATATGTTCAGTGAACATTAACTTGTCATATTATATAGGGGCTTCGCCCACGTCATTTCTGGAGGAAAGTCCCTATCACTGCGCTGGATTATGTTTACTTCATTATTCCACACTTTGTAACGGTTATTATTATTTATCTCTTAGTTCTCAATATTGTATTTAATCTACCAACTTCATTTTACTTTAATTTTTTTTACCTACATTACTAATGTTTCTCATACCTTGTTATCTGGTTCTTTTCTTAGCCCTGATGAAGGCCTGAACTTCAGGTCGAAACATCGGCAAATGTCAAAATAAATATTATAATTTATTTTGCCTTCTTATTTCTGACTGATCACTCCAACTATTCTTCTCTTCATTATTCACGACAGTCAACCATTTACCCACAATTATAAATATATGGTAGTTAGCTGAAAAATCCACCCTATCAGCATGATCCACGTAGACTCCAAGTCATTCCCGAAAGTAGAGGGATTCAAATACGTTGGCTCCACAATAACCTCAATAAATTATCAACTAACAGAGA